GCACAAGATACGTTTCTTGATTTCATCTACATTGTACCTACACTTCTATTCGGGATGACGTTGCCAACTGTCATAACCGTTCGTCACACGCATCGATAGATAGTGAATCGCACTCTGAAAATTTTTGGATATTCTAAAAATCGTCGAAAAAAAAGTATTGCTACCTTTCTGCCCATGACTGTACATATACATTTTATCTTTATTCTTAAAATATTTAGAAAGGCAAATACAATACATATTTGCTATATTAACGTAATAAAGTAAAAGTGAAGTTCATAATAAAGTGATAAGTTCAGTAGTAAAGTTAAGATCTTTCTTATTACCAAATATTTGTGAGTAAATAGCTGAAAGATCAGTACATGTGTACAAATTGTTTACGTTCCATGTACGCAGATATTATTCATCTATATTCGAGTCTGAATTAGGGTAAAAACATTAGATGTGGATCAGGCACTAGTTCTGCATCACTTTTTATATTTAAATAATTATAGTAGTTTCCATTAAATAGTACATATCACAAGACTTTAGTATTTGTTTTATCTCTTTTAAGTACCAATTGAATTTAAATTATTAGCAACACATTTTATTGATGTCGTTAACTAATTAAATGTGCAAGATTAACTAACGTATGTATCTTTAAAAATTCATTTAAGGTGTAATATCATAAAATTATCCTTATGATTTTTATAATACCAAATAGCATTAGATTTCATATAAAAAATCAACGTAATGTTAATGAGATTAAATGTGTCCGCGAGTGTTGTTTAATCGAGAGGAATCCAATAGCGCACATCGCACAAATTGATAGTAAATATATTTACATTTATGTATCTTTTTTTTCAGTATATTATTGCACAAACGTTGGAAAATCTGAAATCACTGCTTTCCAATTCTTTCAAGCTTTCTTCTTGCAGTCGATATGTAATCTTCTGTGTATTTGCTATTTTTTAATCATCGTGAATACTTATTTAACTTTAATAATTATTTTATTAATTGCACGTGGATTTTTAAGAATAGTGTTAATATACATATTTTATTTGACAAAAAGTAAAAAGTAAGTAGTTTCTCTAGATAAATTTTCTTATTATTTCTTGAATAAATCATAATCACCGATTACAACGCGGATTCCTAAATTCCTTAATTTAGTTATTAATAAGATTGGAAATAAGACCATTTATTTTAAATACATTATTTTTTAAATACATTTTTATTTTAAATACGAATTGCCACTACTGAATGTTAAGATGTTGAACTATTATGTATATTCATATAAATGTGTTCCGGAATGATCGTTATTTTGAATATCTTCTTGGCGATGGAAAGCAAACAGCTCATAGACATCGAGTCGTCACCGTTCAAAATATACGGATATCTCGCTTCTGCTTTAATCACGCTATTTGTCTCAGATGCACGAGACTCCCCTTTTGCAACAACTCGAAAAGTTGACGATCGCGCACACGTGTAAACGTTCCGCGTGTAAACGTTCAGTTCGCTTCTCGATCCCGAACAATACGGATCATTTATTGCTATTCATTCGT